CATAGATTACATAGATTACATAGATTACATAGATACACAACAATGACCACCACCGAGAACTCAAACAACACTCCAGTTGATACTCAACAGCAACAGCAGCCTGCCAATGGCGAAACGACTACGACTAGCAGCGGCACTACTTCAAATGAGCAGCCTTCAACACCATTGACAAGCAGCACCAATAGCAACTCTGGTGAGACAAACCAGGCTGTCAAGTACACCGCTGTCAAGGATGTCGGATGCTCCGTCGAGAAGAACCCTCGCTACAGACGCACCATGGAGGACGAGCACATCATCATCGACAACTTTGGAGACGATCCAAAACAAGCCTACTTTGCCGTCTACGACGGTCATGGAGGTCGTGGCGCTGTTGAATTCACAGCCAAGACACTGCACAAGGTACGCAGCCAACACCCCCAAACGATGAGTAGGAGATGGATGGATTGATGGATGGATGGATGATGTTTGTTTGTTTGATTGTTTGATTGATTGATCGTTGAGCGTGATGATCACTAACACTGTGTCACTCTGGCACACACTCATAGAACTTGTTGCTCGAGTTGAGCAAGGAAGGAGATGTACTCGATCATATTAAGACCAGTTACTTGACGACCGACAAGCAGATGACAGATGAACCAATACAGTATTCTGGCACTACCACCGTCACAGCCTTGATTCGTGTGAATGCCAACAACGAGAGAATGCTCTACATTGCCAATGCTGGTGATGCCCGTGCTGTCATTGCGTAAGTCCTACCAATATCATACCATACCATTCCTTGCAATGTTCATTCAATCACTGACTCATTCAACATTGCAACAGCCAAAACGGAGTTGCTGAGCGATTGTCACATGATCACAAGGGATCGGACTCAAAGGAGGTTCAGCGCATTATAGAAGCAGGTGGATTTGTAGTTAACAACCGTGTCAATGGCATGTTGGCTGTCACCAGATCACTCGGCGATCACTCCATGAAGGAGTACGTCGTCGGTGAGCCATTCATGCGCACTGTCCAGTTGGACTCTACCTATACACACTTGATCTTGGCCTGTGATGGTGTAAGTATCCATCTATATCTTGGGTGCGCACCAGCGTCAATGAATGATCATTAGACTGACCACCTCAACCAACAAACAAACAAACAGCTGTGGGATGTCATTAGCGATCAAGAAGCAATCGATCTGATTATCAATGAGACTGACGCACAGAAGATGAGTGATAGGCTGTTGACCCAAGCTTTGAAAAAGGGTAGCACTGACAATATTAGTATTCTGGTATGTGACATCGTCAATCCTGCTTGGCACCTTGGGCCATGACTTGTCCATCATCACTAACACATTCAATCAATCAATGACAGGTCATTATCTTGTAAGATATATTCGAGCTTATACTACTCCATGCATCACTCTACATTGATTGATCAATGTGGAGTGGAGGAGTAGGAGGAAGAAGAGGAGCAGCCAACCAATCACACATCCATCAGCAGCAATCACAACTACAACCAAACAACAACAACAACTACAACATCATCCATCCATCAACATCAAACATTAACAGTTCAGCAGCCATCAACAACATCTTCAAACATCATCATCACTTTTGAATAAACTGTCTGCCGTAAGGGTTCAAGAGTGTATTTCCATGTCGTCCATGTCTATGTCCATGTCCAGTCACATGATTCATTCATTGGTTGACTATTTCCAGAATGCAGGGAATGGGTTTGTTGGACTAAGTACCAGTCCAACCTTATGACTGATGTATCCCTTGATGTATCCATTGTAGATCAGGTTGGAAATGATGCACTCTGCCTCGTCCACATCAACAGTTTCATTCTCTGCCCACTTGAGCGCTGTTACAAAGTGACCAATCGGTACACGTGCATTGCCATTGATCAAGTATCTTTGAAAGGGTATGTCAGTGCTTGGCCAACAACCTCCACGCATCATTAGTCAACTACTACTACTACTTACATCTTCTTGAATAGATTTCTGTACACGATGTTCTTTAACTTCTCAATGATGAGGTAAATACCTTTCTGGATGAAGTAGTTCTGGTTGGAGGACAGACACTCATTGAACTGTTTGATGTCGCCTGTCTTCATTCCCTTGACAATTCCAACGAATTGATGTAGACCATGCTTAATCAACAATGATTGCTTGGGGAATATACACTGCGACAATTGCATTGGTATCAAGTATAACAGTATCAGGCTTGATGGGTTGATTGATTAGTTGGGAGGGAGAGTCAGTGGACCGAATGATCAATGTTCCATCCACCATGGTGTAGTTAATCATACCGCTTGTTCTTCTGGTTATCTGATGGACATTGATTGAATGAGAAGAGGAGGAACTCGCGAGCTTTGACAAAGTCGCCGTCAAAGGCTGCGAGACGTCCGACAAAGAATCGATATGTGATGCATTGTTTGATGGGATAGGTGTCCAGTGCGGGGTAGAGCTTGCTCTCAATCGTCTTGGTCAAGTTCTTGCACAGTTTCAGATTGTTCAGCTTGAAGTAGATCTGGAACAGCTGATTGACGATGCCCATTGCCGCTCGCTTCTTTGACAGCTCGAGGTCGGTGGCACGATCCGCGCCCGAACTTTGAAAGCATCGATTGAGCAGACGTGACGCCTCCTCGAATGGGTCGATCTTGCGTTCGCTGCTGCCGCCACTGCCGGGCGTTGTTGTCGTCGTCGATGATGAAGGCGCCGCATTGACCAGCTTGGCCATTATCCTGATGTTGTAGGTCAGCTTCCACATGACGGGCGTCGACCACACCTCAAACACCTTGAGGAATGCCGTGATGGCGTCGGAGAGATGTTTGAAGGCGTCGGTGTAGCGGCCGTCAAAGATGGAGGAGACGGCGCGCAGACGCGACACGGTCATCTCGTGGTAGGATCTGCGCGTCTCGGCGTCGAGCGCCAGATGCATCTTGTTCTGCACGAATGAGTCGAGGTCGACGGTGCGCTTGATCACATTGTCCATCTTCTTGAGCAAGCTCATTTTGTTATTGAACGCTATCTCTTGTTGTGTTGTCCTACTATGCATTGATGGCACCGTTGACTCGTGCTCTATTGTCAATGAGATTATCTCACTTAATGATAAATGGTCAGCCATCAATTGACCATTCTCCCTATTGATACTATCGGCTAGCTGTGTTAGATGTGTATTTAGTTCCATCTATTATCCATATGTATTGTATGTTATGTATAAGTATATATATTTTGAGTTAAGTATGAACTGACACTAATTCATTCATTCATTCAATGTCAGTTTCATCGACTTCAAGTCACCAAGCTCAAGTGTGAAGTTGAAAACCACATCTCACACAAACACAACTCATTATCTCGCAACATGGAACAACTACAATGAATAAGTTTGGACCCAGAACAATCAATCCAATCAATAATTACAATGTCCATCTACTTTAAAGATTGATTGAATCAATGTGGTATGTTCTTAAATGTTAAAAACACACATTATTTAAAAGGATCTGATCTTGAAAGGTTCGTCACTCATTAACTCATCAATCAATGTCATCAATTATTATTATTCCAATAAAGACAACAATGTTATATTTATAAATAATAATAGATTGATTGATTGAATGATTGTTTGATGGGCTCACCCAAAGGTAGTGTAGACCCCACACTTAGATTTATTGATAATGACAATCACACCCCACCCATAACAATTTGCCAAGTTTAGTGTTTTGTTTGATTCTAACTGTGTCGTGTTTGTGTGGGATCAAATCCCTTCTTCTCTCTTCTGGATGGATTGATTTATATGTGTGTGTGTTTGAGCGCGTTATACATCGAGGATAGAGATAGACATTGTGTCATACTACTTAATACTACTACCACTACAATACCCCCCAAATCAATCAATCAATCACTATCAATCAATCAATCAATCACAATCAATCAACTTATCTCAACTCAATCAAAAATATAAATATACATAAAACATACTTTAAACAAACATAATAAGCATAATAAGCATAATAATATAAGATGTTGAAGAGATTCTTGTCATTGCGGTCATCCCGCGTCAGTACTGGAAAGGGTGACACGCATAGACAAAAGTCCTCAACGATACAGGTGGTGGAGGATACTTCGACGAAACAGCATCAGCAGCAACATCAACAGAGACAGGGACAGGCACATTTCGAGAACAATCCATCAATGATAGATTATCAATGCACAGAGAAGGCCGCACTGATGAATCGGTACAATCTCACAGAGTTGCCATTATGTCTGTTCGTGGGCACTGATCCTGCGCCCCAAGACATGCAGCTGGCGCACTCAATCGACACATCGACCACAACTACAACGACAACAACGGCGGCAGTGTCAACAGCACCACTGTCGCCACCCGTCTCACCAAAGAAGAGCAGCGACGAGCTGCCGCAGCAGGATGGCGCGCCAAAGTCCCCGCGCTTGCCACCTCAATCACCACCCAGCAACAAGATAACGGTGGCCATTCAGGCCCCTCCCACTCTGTACTACAACACCTACCTGACCATCTTGATACTGGACACCAACAAGATAACAGTCATCCCGAGGACAATCACACTGTTTCCCAATCTGATCGAGTTGTCCATCTCGTCCAACTTGCTCACGGACATTCCCGAATACTTATGCGAGCTCACCATGTTGCAGTCGTTGCGCATTGGCCAGAACCCTTTCCCCTCATTCCCCCTCAACGTCTGCAAGCTGACGAGCCTCACCGAGCTCTACTTTGAATCCAACAACATCGACACACTCCCGCAAGACATACTTCACCTCACCAGACTCAAGGTGCTCTCGCTCGAAGAGAACCGATTCACATCGATACCCGAGTATCTGCCGGCGACGATCGAGCGCCTCAACCTGTCTGGCAACGACATATCATTCATCGAGTCGGGCACGCTGCCCATGTCGCTGCTCACCAATCTGACCGTGCTCAACCTGTCGGAGAACCAGCTGACCAAGATCGACGACTCGTTCGTCCTCCTCTCCAACCTCAAGACACTGTTGCTCGATTGCAACATGATCACACACCTGCCGGGCAACGTCGTCCAGGGCTGGCAGGCGCTGTCGTCGCTCAACATCCCCCATAACGAGCTGACGACGCTGCCGGCCGAGATAGCATTCCTGCCCAACCTGTCCGTGCTGGACGTGCGCGGCAACTGCTTCGAGCACACCAAGTCGGCGCCCGCCGAGGTCTCCTCCACCAGTGCATTCAAGCTGGAGGACTTCATCTCGGACAAGGAATCATTCAATCTTCTCAAGCTCACATCTGACCTCAACAGTCATCTGGCATCGACAAGCGATGAGTTTGGAGGCGATAACAGTGCAGGAGCAGGAGCAGGTGGCGACAACAGCAGCACAACAACCACAGGTGCCCTGTCTACGACAGCAGCGGCGCCACGCATTAACGTTCAGATTGGCGGAGGCATTGGCAGTCAGATGTCAGCGCCACTAATCTTTTGGCAGTCGATAAGTGCCGACCAGATCATCGATGGCGTCTTCCTCGGTTGTAAAGAAAGCGCCACAAACAAGCGATTCCTTCTAGATAACAACATCACTCATATATTGACCGTGGCTCATTTCAAACCATTGTATCCAAAGGTAAATATATGTCAAGGCAACAGGTATACCATGGATGATGGACAATACTAACACAGACATACATGGCATAGTTATTCAAGTATAAGGTGATTGATATTGACGATGTGGACTACGAGAATATAGCAATGTACTTTAATGAGATGAATGAGTTTATTGATGAAGCAGTGGCCACTGGCGGTGTCTTGATACACTGTCGCGCAGGTGTTTCCAGGTCAGCAACTGCAACTATGGCGTAAGTCCAATCAATCAATCAACCAACCAACCAATCGATCATAATGGAGCCAAGGACTAACATTGGGCCACCATCAATCAATCAATCATATAGCTACATAATGTATAAACAGAAGTTAAGCTTTGATGAAGCATTCAGTATAACTGCAAAGGGAAGACCAAGAATATGTCCAAACAATGGATTCGTTGCTCAACTGAAAGAATATGGCATTGAGCTGGCGTCCAAACAACATCAACAACAGCAACAGCAATCACCAACACAAACACATACGCAGGTCGAACATATTGAAGTAGTGACGCCAACATTGGTGGTCGAGCCAGTGCTGCTACAGCTGCCGCAATAAATAGAATGCCCCTCTATTTGCTCGACGTGACAAGACTTGGATTGAAAGGATGTTTGGATTGAATGGATGGATGTATATAGGTACATGAAGGCGATTTATTTACAGCAAATTGTACATTGGCTACAGACAGTTGAGTCCGCCAATCAACTAGGTCACTTGTCAATCGATCAATCAATGACCAAGTGTGATCAGTGACTTTGCAACCTCATCCTCCCTCGAACGACAACGCAGTTTGGAGAACTGGAAGTTCATCTGCGATGTGGGCGTCATTGGAGCAATGACCTGTGAAGATGGTGTGGAGGAACAGGATGAGGATGAGTATGAGAGGGATGATGGCGACGAGGGCACCACCGACAGAGGTGGGAACGACACTCTTGGACTGCATGGGGTGGAGGTTGGTGTGTTGGGTATCTTGTAGACCCATTGGATATCGGTGTTGTTGGTGGCTGCACTGGTCGTTGTGGAGCGGAATGATACAGCATTGGGCGACAGCGGCATTGGCAGTGAGCTCTTGCTTCTGGGTGATGATGAGTGTGAGCCTGGCACCAAGATGTCGGACATGTTGTTGTTGGACTCGACCAAGGTGTCGATCCTGGACTTGCTCGAGCCGTCCTCCATCTGGGGCGATGACAGTGGATGCAGCTTGCTAAGCGAGATCGAACGGCTGTATGGCCAGATGGGTGGTGATTGAGTGTTGATGGTGAGCGACAGTGGCTTTCTCGTCTTGGGCTTGAAGCTGTCCTGCAGCGGGCTCAGGTTGGGAGTGGATAGGGTGCTGTGCGACAGCAGAGAGATTGGTGATGAGAGAGACGATGAAGTAGTGGGCGTCGATGGCATGCTCATTGCCAGTTTCTTGGGCATGTTCAGGATCAGGTCCTCCTTGACCCTGTCACCCTTGCGCTCGTGCTTGGCAATGTGGCGCGAGAAATTGGTCAACATCCTCAGGTTGCAGCCCTCGAAGAAGCACAGGTATTTGCCTTGGCTGTCCTGACGGAACACGTTGAGACCATATGTGATCATCTGATTACGCAGTTGTACTCCACGCTGTGATGGCTTCATGGGAGTTGTGAACTCCTCGTCCTCTTGCTCCTCCATCAGTATGCCCTTGGACTCGTCGGCTTCGGCGTCCAGACGTCTGTGCCAGCGCAGATGTGATGACAAGTTGCCCTTGTTGCCCTTGATCGTCTTGTTACATGTCTCGTATGGGCAGCTATATGTGCCGTCTGTGTTCTGCTTGACTTGCTCGCTGCGCATCTTGTAGTCCAGTGCGGGGAATGGACGACCAGGTGTGCCAGGGTTAGACTTTGGTGATTGAGTGGGTGTGGACGATGCCGAACCGGCCACCTTGGGCTTGCTCGGGCTGGTGGCCGCACCACTGTTTCCAAACTGTGGACGATCATTCAATGAGAAAAGGTCGGGTCTTGGCTTTGCCCTGGCCGACATCTCATCGAATTGACTGTGGAAGTGGAAGGAGTTGATGTGAGGAATGAATGGGCCGCCGTCCTCGTCGTCAAAGTCGTCGCCCTCATACTCCTCGTCACTCAGAGGTGCCTCATCCGAGAGATCATCCTCCCAATTGTCTGCCACGCGTTGATCCAGACGACCCTCGACATTCGAAGGTGATTTATCAGAGTGGCGGGATGGGCACATGTGGTCGGCATGGTTGTGGTTGTGGCTGGCATTGGAGTTGGCATGTTGGTTGTGTCTGGATGGATGCAACAGCTCAATATTATTGAGTAAAGATGGAGAGAATGATGTATGTGGCAATGGCAGGGAATCCTCGGTCTTGGATCTCTTCAAAGGTGACTTGTTCAAGTCGACAACAGGGTGGTCTCCGCCCTCCATTTGGTAATCCTCCTTTAGGCGCTTCAACATTGAATGAGTACATTGTTGATCATTGTTGGATGATGAATTAAGTAGCATATTCAGTTTATACTCCATGGTTGGTTGGATACGGGATGGAATGGCTAGGGGATGGATATGGATTCGGATGGGAATGTCTGGGAATTAATTAATGGACTGGAATGGGATGGGTTAGGTTAGACTTGATTGACTATCGTTGGACATGGAACATGTTGGATATGGACAAACAAACTCACATTATTGATTGGATTGGATTGGATGGATTCCAAGTTGGATGATTTATGATTGATGGATAATGGTACACCTTTGGTTGATTGATTGAGTGGGAGGTGGATATAGTAATGTTACTAATGATGTTACAACAAACAAATGAAATTGATCAATGATTGATTGATGATTGAATGAATGAATAAATGAATGAATGATTGTGTAGTGAGAGTGTGTAAGTTATGTCTTTGGAAGAAAGTATTGGATCTTTGGACAATGGTGTGTCGACCTTGTTTCCGCTTAACTCATAGTTGTTGATGGCACTGCACGGGCAAGCATGGGCTTTGATTCGATATGGATAAGGATAAGGGCATGGGTCATGGGCATGGATATGTATTTGGATAATATGGGCAACTGGGGATGGCACGACTAGGTATGTATATGGTAATGACCCAACAACAAACAAACGAACAAACAAACAATCAAGATGGTGGAGCATTGGAGAGAGATTTAAATGAATTGGTGGCAAGGTCTGAGCAACAAGGCTGATCCGTCCGCAGATGTGTAACCATAGTTGGTGAGGTGAATGTGGATTACTTTGTCTGATGGCACTGGAGGCGATAGGGATATGCGTGTAAGGGTGTCTCTGTGTCTGTATGTTTGTGTGGATTGATGGATGGATGTTGGATCAACAATGCAAAGCGTCGTGTCGTGGATGTATCCGAAGCCGCTAGAGCTATAAAGTAAGCTCAAGCTCAGCAGCTGAAACAAGATGTCATCAACCTGCCTGTATGTATGAATAAATGAATGAATGTCCTTTGATGTTCAGAAAGCATCCATCATCTTATGCCGGGGCAGGGGCGTCACTGGCCAGGCATGGCCCATGCCAACAGGGCTACATCAACAACAACAACAACAAAGCAAACTAGTAGGGTGTGCATGAGAGTTGATTGATTGTTTGATTGAATGAGTGAGTGAGTGTGTGTGATTGAGCGAGTGGATTGGATTGATGACACGGCCACTGCCATCATTTGGAGGAGGATATCGTCTTCCACAACGATCAATGATGATGCTTGGATGCGGGTGATGTGGTTGGGTGAGGGGGGCTGGTCATGTGATTCCATCCATCACACATTCCATTCACAGTCAAACTGTTAACAACAAAACAAACAACGATTGAGCAATCGTGTTGGAAGAAGTATCTTTTCATCTTGTTTCTTGTTCTTCGACTGCTCAATCAAAGGAGATGGTTGTTGCCCTGGAGGAGCTGAAAAGCTTACCATGGTGATTGAAGACTGAGACGGGCAACGGGTCAACCTGCGCCACTCAGGTGAATGATGATATGCTACATGCATACATACACGAGTACTCCAAAGACACTGATGGTTGTGGTGGTAGTGTGGTTGGGGCTTAACACACGAACTTGTCAACTACGACAAGGTACTATTTGTTGTTGTAATCAGGCATCCCTACACCAATACACCACGATCTTGCGAGGAAGGATAGAATGATTTACCGTATCAATCATACATAATTAATTAATAACACAATTTAAGTTAAGGTGGAGGAATGGGGTGTGTGTCATTGTGAGAAGATGATGTTGGGTCATTATATCAATGAATGGCTAAATTACAAGTGTAGATGAGCAGGTGCTCCTGAAACAATCTCCTTGGTTGGCCTCTCACACACTATTTGTTATCACTTTGATTGTGATCAAAAAACACTCAAAGATCTGATGGTGCTTATGATGAGGTGTGTGGTCGAGTGAAAGAATGCAATCAATCATGTGATTGGAATAGAATGAATGAATGAAAATGGAAGGGTTGGGTGCCCAGACACATAACTTGATAAATGTATATCGTGTGTATTTGAGAACAGATTGATGATGGTTTGGTTGGTAAAATATAACCTTGAGTAAAGTCAGTGTTGAGTGACCATTAACAATGGAGATGTGGAGTACCCTTCGCCACACTCTACTCCACTCCACTCCACTCCATTCCATTCCAAACATACATCAAATCTATTACCCGAACAGAAAAAGAGACCATTGGTCGAGGTCTATTATATGGCCCACATATAGTGAACTTAGTTACATGTATAAAGAGTATGGTATGGAAGTGTGTGTTGATGTCATGGATGTGAAGTGATCAAATATAAGGTTTGAACAACATTGATAATGATAATAATAATAATAATATATTATCACACATACTTTGTTAATTGATTGAGTGGTAGTGGACCTCTTTGGACCTTCCTTTTCCTTAAAGTGTAGATTCCTTGATGCTATTATTACTCTAATAATTATTGATGGTGAAGTTGATTGATGATCAAGTATCTGGAAATAATATTACTAAAGTTAGAGTGAATGAATGGATGAAATGGATTGATGCTGATGATGATGTATAAGTGTTATAATTGGGAATAAGTACTTGATGTCACTGATCCGATTCATTCATTCATTCATTCACGGCGTGGAATGAGGAGGAGGTGGTGGTGGAGGTGTGGGTGAGGTCGCCCAACTCTTAACCGCGGACAGTACTGTCACATCATCATCAACAACAACAGCAGTGCCATCCGGTCCGTCAAAACAACAGCGGTAGCCAACACCCTGGAGGAGGATTGATGGATTGGACTGGACTGGACTGGCATGACAGGACAGGACACTATGATGATGAAACCGACCGCGAGGTACTTGATTGATTGATTGATGCTGTTTAATTAAACACTCACGGCTGTGTGAGTGTGTTCATGCATGTACATTGCATTGTGCACTCCAGTTGTTCAGTAAGTATTAATTAAACATTGTAATGTAGTGGTACATCATCATATGATGTATGGCCATCCGGGTTCATACTTATGTTTGTTTGATTGATTGGAGTGATTGCCGGAAGGTTTGATGATGACAGACATCCATGCCATGCCATGCCATGCCACATTGTGACACACTCTAAACACGCGACACACTCATCCACACACATATTAACACACGTTGTCAACCTGGAAACAATGACTCGCTGACTGACTGATCGTTGCATCACTGAGCAACAAACAAACACCTGTGAGGTGTATACAAGCAATGTTTAATTCCTTTAACATTCAGGTTGGTATAGAGCTACTAACTCTACTAATAATGTGTATGTATGAATTGACCTATATACCGTCACTCAGTTGATTGAGTGAGTGTGACAATGACCGCGATGATTGAGTTATAGAGTGAGTGTGTGATGTCAGTGAGTGATCATCGTTACCGCAGATAGATATATAATACCAACGAATAGGTGACCTATCCTAGCACAACCATCACTTCAACAACAAATTATATCGATGACATCAACCTCTTCTACTCTTGCCACGCCATCCAACACAAACACAATCACACACACAACAACACACAACATCCGGATGTCGGTGGAATCGATCACGATGGATACTGTTGAATACTTGGATGTCATTCCAATTGATCGAAATCATAGATGTAACTCTGTTAGTAGTAAGTAAGTAAGTGCTACTACTACCTTGTTGTTGTTGTGTGTGTGTGTTGTTGAGTGTGGATGTGGTGACGACTTAGCCAACAACATCAACAACACAACATTAAGATGAAGATGAAAGTTGAAGGTTAGATAACCCTTTAACCATTATAACTTACTCGCTCTTATTAATATTATTAATATTATTTAACATCATTTATTCTTAAAGTACCTTGTTGGGCAATACACCATTCAACCACCTTTGTATCCATCTCAGTCGTTATTACACTGCAATGATAAATAAACCAGTGAGTGATGGATGATGATGTAACAACCAATACAATGAATGAGTGAGAGAGAGAACGAGTGATATGGCGAGATTGAAATGCCTTGTTGTTGGAACAACAATTGTGAAACAGGAATGAGGAAACAGGAAGATGGAAACATCAAGAAGATGAATGAGAGAGAGGGAGAGAGAGGCTCGGAGAGGGCATTGTAATTATAATGTACTGTACACATGAATGTTGGGTATATATGTATATATTTAACAAGGGTTTGTTGTTGGTAGTCAACTCTTACTACATCATTGGCTTGAACGCCCTCGATAATGATGACTTGGCAAACGATACCTTCAACATATAATCACCAAATGCATGGTGATGTAGCATCACCAGACTATTAACAGACTCCTCCAATGAGTCCATCTCAATCAATGCCATCTTATTGTCATTGCTAGATGAATGATTGAGTGAGTGATTGAGTAAGTATGGATGCGTGGATGGGATTGATGGATTGGATTGATGGATGGAGCATACGGAAAAAGGTTAAATGCTTTGATGGTGCCGTGTTTGGAGAAGAGCTCTCGGATGAGCGCTTCAATGTTGGCTTCGTCGGGTGGGAGGTTGGACAAATGTAGTGTCTTGGATGGTGGATGTATGTGTTGGTAATTCTTTGACCCTGGCAATTTATAACGATGTGTAGAATATCCACTGTAGTCTTTAGTCAGATCACACTGTTGTTGATTGGAATGAATGAATGGAACAAGTGTTTGTTAGTTTGGATTGATTGATCATGTGATTGATCAGGTGATTGATTGAGTGAGTGTGACTTACATGTGCCTCTCCTGACTTTGGTAATGATATTGTTTGATGCTTGGATGAGTTGACTCGTAGGATACTACCACGGAATGGAACATTATTCAAATATTGTATTGCTATCTCCCTGGATAATGTTTGATTGAATGATTGAATGAGAGTGAGTGATTGATCATGGATGTTTGATTGAATGAATGAATGTACATACGCTTGCTGTGGCAGGTTCATTTGGACCAATGCGGTGTCCTTCTTATTGTACATGATCTTGACTCGTATTGGATCGCCGTAGACACCAAACAATGTGTGTAGGTCGTCGGGTGTCACGTTTGTAAGCGGCAGTCCACCAACTATCAGTACACAATTACGTTGTGGAACCACTTGTTGGGCAAACAGTGGCGCCAACAACTGTGGCTGGGCACTGGGCACGGCTGCTGTGCTAGAGGGGCTCTGGGGCGCAGACAGTGGCGACAGATTTATAGTAGCGATTGGATTGCTCATCATGGACGAGGCGGAGCCCGGTAACAAAGCCGGGTTGGTGTAGTCCCTGCTCTTATCATTGTTATATTTGATCGACAGGTTGGTCAACGAGGAGAATTGCAGCTTGAGTGTACAACTGCCATTATACAGGCTGTGTCCATCCAGTTCCTATGTATGATTGATTGAGTGAGTGAGTGATCATGTGATTGGAGTGATTGGAGTGAAGGAGGAGTTGGTGTAATGGTTCCAGGAACATACCTTCTTGGCGGCTATGGCAGCCTCCTCGGTCTGCATTTGTATCAGAGTCTGGAAGTTGCCAGACTTGGCAAATATTAGTATCTTGGACACTTCACCATACTTGCTGAATAGTTGATGGAGCACTTCGATGGTCACTGGATACATCACATTGGTGATGGTGATCAGCATTATCTTGTTGGGCGTGGCGATGGACGATGAGCATGACTTGAGCTCCTCGCGGTTCGAGAACTGGACAAAGAAGTCCTTCGAGCGGATGTTGCCTTGGATCGAGCCGTAGTATTGGACAAAGGCGGAGGAGGCGGCCAGGTCGGCCATTTGGATAAAGCCTTGGTTCTTGCCCTTGATCAACAGGGCGTGTTCGATATGGCCAAACGGTGAGGCCAACGCGATGATATCATTCTCAGTGCAATCCGATGGAAGATTACGTAGGTGGATCACCTTGGATGTTGGTTGCTCGTCAGCCTTTGGCTTCTTACATATGCTCTGCACATTGTTATCATCATCGTACTCTAGGTTACGTTTGTTCGATATCATATCGATAACCAAACCTATCTATTCATTCATTCATTCATTCATTCATTCAACATAATACCCAATCATTCAATCAATCATTCAATCAATGTTGTTAAGGAGGGAAGGAGGGAGAAAGAGAGAAAGAAAGAAGTAGAGGGAGAGACGGATTAATAAAGCATGAGAGAAAGAAAGAGAGATGGTGAGAGAGGTTAGAGAAGTAAAGAGAATGAGAGAGGGGAAAAGAAAGAAAGAGAATAAGAAGAATAAATGAAAAGGAGAGAGAGAGAGGGAAGAGAGGAGAGAGAGATAAGGATATGAGGAGAAGATAGAAGAGTTAGAGAAGCAAGCAGAGGAGGAGTACAAAGATGATGTGTATGATAGGAGGTGGGATAGAAGGCATCAATGAATACACTCTATACATACAAGAGATAGAGAGTGTGTATAATTGAGCAAAGAGGTAGAGGTAGAGATAGAGATGATAGATAGAGTGGAGAGAGAGGAGAGAGACAAGTAGAGAGCAAGAGTTTGGCGAAGAGAGAGATAGAGTAGAGATAGGGATAGAGATAGGGATAGAGATAGAAACCTAGAAGGTTGAGTCCAAAGCGCAGCAAGCAACAACAAAGAAATGGAAAGGGAGCTGGTATTTCTTGATTACTGTGTGCGTGTGAGTGATTGAATGAATGACTTGCGAAAGTCTGAACCAAGGTAGGATGGTTGGTTGGTTGGTGGGCTGGCGAAAGTGGAATGAATGTGAGTAAGTGTGCTATTGTTGCCTTGTTGAATGAATGATTGGACAGCAGAAGGAATGAGTTGTGTTGCTGATGCTAAGGCACACTCACACACATCAGAGTTAGAAGCAGCCGAGAGCCACGATCTTGAATAATAATGATCATCCATGAAGCCACACAGCCAGGCCATTTGTTTATTTATAAATTATTATTCAATTTGACAAATATCTAGTTTTTGCTGTTGTTGATCACTAGGTATTGTGTGACCTTTGACCTTGGTATGATGCCTGATTAGCGTGCTCATCACCCTATTCTGTCACCATCAAGGGTCCTATCTCTTTGTCGTCTTCCTTTGCCAATATCCAGGGTGTTGCCACCTTGTGTCAAGGTTGTTCTCCTCGGAAGATGGCAACAATTAGCAGTTTGGATGCCAACAAAATGTGTTGTTTGAGTTGATGTATTGAATGTATGTGTTTGTTCAGGAGTCAGATGCAAAGACGTTTGTTGTTAAGTCTATCCACTGGACTCGACTCTACTCGACCGACCTACCGAACGAACCGATAACATTCATTCATTGTTGACCAGGACAACACGATTGACCCAGGAAGTTGAACAACCCCCAGGGTCCAAACACACCTTGTACTCACTTTCAAACAAACACAACTCTTCCCAACTTCTTGCGAGATATAGAATAAGATGAACATTAATGACAATGACAAGAATAAGAATAGATTGTTTAAATCATTACTCAACAATATTGTAACAAGATCATTGATATTGGATGATATACATTGGATACATTGTAGAGTGTTGGGCACGAATGTATGGTGTTTGTATAAGCCAACTGAGGATGGTGTAAGAAGACTGGTACTCAAATACAATCAATGCTTCAGTGTCAAATGGATGGCGCATCATGGCTACATCAACTTGTTGATCGATCGCATGACACTAAACAAACGTGTGAGCTTTGGCAAGATGGGTGTGGACATCTTGAGCGCACTCTCAACCGTGCACACCGTCGCGCAGTTCAAAGTGTTTGAACAACGTCAAAAGCCTCTGTTGCGAATGTATGCCAAAAAGGTGGTCGATTCAGTGGCCGCATGCAATCTCGACGTGCTGGTGTATGCTTCAAAGAGCTATGGCGCCACGACCAATGCAATTGACCAGGCTGCGACCAAAGGACGTCTGGAGAATGTTCAATACCTGCACGAACACCGCCAAGAGGGTTGCACAGCCAAGGCATTATGCGAAGCTTCACTCAATGGCCACCTCGCCACGGTCATGTACCTTCAGCAGCACTACCCCACCAAGTGGTCTACCGCGGCCATGGACAACGCAGCAACGAGTGGACACATCGATATTGTGACGTACCTTCACGAGCAGGGTCTCACGTGCACAATCTCGGCGATGAACAACGCCGCAGCTAATGGACACTTGGACGTGGTCAAGTTCCTCCACGAAAACAGGACAGAGGGCTGCACCTACGCGGCCATGGACAACGCATCTGAGGCGGGACACCTCAACGTTGTGCGCTTCCTTCACGAGAACAGGACAGAGGGCTGCACGTCATTTGCGTTGTTATGCTCAAGCAACAAGTGCAAGGATGGTTCGATCACACGCTTCCTGCTGGAGAACAGGACTGAGGGCGCGTTGTCCTCGCCACTCTACTGGGCTATCAAGAGTCGCTCACTGGAGTCGATCAAAGCGCTGCTCGAGGGGCATCCCAATGCGCAGCGCGAATGCTATCGTGAGATGGCCAACGCCATCATGACCGACGACCTTGGCATCATACAAGAGGTGTTCACACGCGCTGAGCGCAGCGACAATCCGATGTTTGTCAAAAGTCTTGCACACGCGTATCAACAATCTGCCTACACCAGCTTTCAATCATTCATGTGGATGCGCCAGCACTACTGGAAGTCACATCTCAGTCTAATGGATCGACCCGTCTCAGTCGGACAGTTTGCATTACAATATGGCATGGTGGATACGTTACGCTACTTGATTGATGAGGTGAAGGAGTTCACGGTGGATGATATAGAAGACTATCGCTTGGAGAATGCTGTGAGATGTGGAAGATTGGAGACGGTCAAGTTCATATACTCACGCACGTCCAAGCATTTGGGACGCGCGCGTATAATGGACACGGCGGCAGAGCATGGACGACTTGGAATTGTACAATTATTACACGAACAAAAAGCATCGTGTACTCGACTGGCCATTGATCAGGCAGCATTGAATGGACATCTACAAGTTGTCCAATACCTACTTGAGAACAGGACTGAAGGATACCAGAACGCACTCAAGAATGCACGAACCAATCATCATCACGACATTATCAAGTGCATCAACAATCATCGTCGTCGTAGTCCATGTCCATCACTCACTCACACTCCACTCCCAATCAATCAACCAATCAATCAATGAGTCGATCAATGAATGTCCAAGTCCTTGTCCATCCATTATCATTCGCTCACTCATTCAATCAAACGACCAAAATAAATGCCCATGCATTTATTTCCAATGTTGACTCGGAATCATTTTTTTTTACGCGTGATCGTTTGTGTGAGTGTGTGGACCTCACGAACGAGTCCCTCGTCAAACACTTAAGCGAGTGTTCTTGCATTAATTATTTTATCGTTTGTCTATTCCAACATGTAAGTGTTCATTATCTTATTACTATCATTACATCACATCATATCACTATTCCATCACACATTATATATCAATGTTCATAGGGTTGTACTATGATTAATACTTGATCTTTGATCATGCACCACTCAAAATTAGGTGCCAATGGTGGCACTTATTGCTGACAATATAGGTCTCACAACCTGGATGAGCAACTTTAAACATACATTGACCAATCACAATCATCCCACACTTGCTTACTTGCACACTCAACAATCAACATTCAATCAAACATCAACATTCAATCGTAATCAAGTTTACTAACTCTTCAATGTATAATTCAGTATTTCTTTATTCTTAACTTTAGATATATGTATCCTTCTTGACCTGACAACTCCCATGGATTCCCGTCCATCAGTAACGTAAGATGTAAGTGATCTTATATACCAATCACCTCGCATCAATCACATCAATCCACAACACACATATTTGAATGATGATAAATCTTTCCCCGTCTGATTCGACCCTGATTGAATCACATATAGCACAATGTCTCAACAGCATTGTTCGTCCATAAGCCATAAACATCTGATCCTCCATCCACACAACACATCAACAACATTCAATCCAATATCAATCACTCAATCACATTATCAATCATATACTAATCATTCTATCTCTCTACCTTTGCAATAATGCAGAAACAAAACTTTAGATATTCATCAATTATTCCAAATGTGGTTGACATGCATGTCGATTCCATTCGATGAGTTAACAAGGACCTCGCTTACCATTTGAAGCCCTTGTATCCCATTGAAGCAAATCATCAAGCACATCAATCACACCACATAATTAACTAATTAAATAAATATTAAGTTTGAATTAATTATATCACCTTGCATACTCTTGACCCCAGTTACAATACATTGTTATGTATTGTCTAATATCCGTTGCCAGACACCATAACCAAGATAGTATCGTCTCTGTTGACCTTGATCTTTTTAAAATTTCCATGATATTTCATTGAGTTTTATCTTTGGCTCAATCATTCATTCCATCAATCAAAGAGTGGAAATGAGAATGGAAATGATCCATCACCAACAGATCATAATGGCAAAGAGGTTTGCAAGCCAATCCAAAACAAACACTTGGAACGACATGAAATGAAGGGGGAGAGGGGCTGGAAAGAGATGGTCTCTATCCTAAAGTCCTTCTTTGGAACTAGCAATCAGAAGTCACATTCATCATTTGATTATCCTTTTATATTTATATATATATATAAATTATTTATAATTATTATTATTATTATTATCTATTTATTTATTTATATTATTAATATTAATTAAATGTCAAGTGAGAAGATAACAATCTCACTTGAGGAGTTCTTGATGAACTTTGACAAGATCAAGTGTGTGGATACCTCATCGCCGCTGGCTTCGCAACATTACGGAGCTGGCGCTCCTTCATTTCCGACTTCCAAACTCTCCTATCCATAGTTTTATACACTCTTCTTCTTTTAAAAAAGGTATCTGTATCAATAATGTAGAATTGTAGTAGAAATAGAGACTTTAAGATCAAATATTAGAAATACTTTAATCCTAATTAAAGAAGGTTGTTTTCCTAATTCTACTACAATTCTACTTTCAGTACCTGTCACCGCCATAACAGTAAGCACGTTGGAAAAGAGTATCTGTCTAATCAATGTAGAATTGTAGTAGAAATAGAGTTTAGAAGTTCAAAATAATAGAATTAATAACCTTTAATAAATACAAGGACGATCCCTCGATTCTACCAACAATTCTACTTTCGATACCTGTTAGCGCTGTAACAGTTTGCACGGCCAAGAGAGTTACCAGGAGAGTCTCAGCACGTTGGTCAGCACGTACTTCCGAAAGTTCACACGCTGTTCACCGATTGTTCACCGTTTGTTCACCAACTGTTCACCAAGAGTTCACCGAGTGTGGGTGTGAGTGGGTGTGAGGATAGTAACAAATTGTATTGATGATGATTAGGTGCTGTTATGCTACCTCCTCCAAGAAGGTAGACATCTGATGACTTGGTTCGTGCGCTATCTCTTGTTCATCGTCGATATCGACAATGAGTGAGTCGAAAATGAATCGATCCGAGTAAGGGATTGCAGGTCTGAGCTTCAGAGCGATGTAATCGAACAAGTCCTCGCAGTGAGTTCCAGATTCAATGCCGTCGTTAGTTTCATCTAATTTCCGTTTGTTGCCTGGTCCTGGGAATGATATGTTGAAAGGGTTCAGCGCGGACGAGAATATATCACGTGCCTGACGTTCTTTCGGATCGCCACCTTTGTCTCCATCATCACCACCATCGCCAGTGCCAGAGCCCAACTTAATCTTCTTGTGACTTATTATGTGATGCTTGTTGATGAGAGCTTGAAGAATAGACATACCGACAGGTCTGTTGACCTCAATGAAGCTGATAGTGTTTTCTGCTGAATACCAATAGATGATCCAAGTCGTATTTACATCAGTGAGAATTGAAACTACTGGTGTGTGGTCCTTGGACATTTGGCTGGCAGAAATGAGCTGAAGCATTGTCTGGTATCTGTCTCTGGACTCTGGTGCCTGCATCTTCAGCTCGATAGTGATGTTGATATGTCGGTTGACTGATTCAATGTCATTGACCATTGAGATGACAAAGTCTGTGCTACCCATGTATCTCTTTCTTTCGCAGAGGTATGACATGAACTGTGTCTGTGCGTGAACATCGAGCAGGTTGAGGTCATGAAACGTGATGTGTTTGTGGAGCCATGCATTGAAATTGTTCATGTTGTCTGTTTCTTTCCCAGTCCATTTGAACTCGTTTGTTTTGTGATGAATCTTGATCTTGGCAGTCTCCGACTTGAGCTTAAACAAGGATGTGGCACTCTCTAGAATGGACTTGGGTAAGACATGTGGGTGGATGATCAAAGACTTCTCAATCTTGACTCGGTCAAAATGCTTGGAGGTACAGTCCGAGAAGGCGATTTGTTGGAAGGATGACTCCATGACGACATTGGTGAGGGTGATGATGTTGGCGTTAGTTGCCTCCTGTACCTCTATCAACCTATCGAATGCTAGATTGGAGAACAGAGGTCAGTATCGATCGAACACATCACTCGCTCTCACTTCTACTTACGCGCATGGCCACCACCTCCTCCTGCATCACCGGCTTGAGTGTGTATGTTAGTATTGAATGAAGACATTGCGCCGATGTTGTTTGTACATACGAGCTATGAGTGCGTCGGCCATTTCTGTGATAGCTGTCAAGACATCGGATTGTTCATTGTATTTGATCAACTGGCACAGACGTGTGGCTTGCTCCTTCGTGAGCTTCTTTGTGAGCAAGGTCTTGTTGGCCTTGCTGCAATCGGCGTCAGAGAGTTTATTGATGAACTCAAGAGCAAGTTCAAGATGATGTTCAGACATAGGAAGAGAGAATATTGTTGACTAAGGAAGAGATAATAGTTGTAGTATTTGTTGATGTTGTTGTGTGAATAATGAATGAGTGAGCTTCAAAGTTATCATTGTGAAGGGTGATCTGCTTGCCCTCTTTTGGAAACTCATAAATAAATTAAATCAAATTAAACAATTTATCTCTTACAGATATAACATGTCATTATTCAAAGAGTACTATTGGGACGAGAACTCGGAGTTCAGAGAGCGTCACAAAGCATACATCAAACAAAAGGTAAGATGCGACTGCGGCTTCGAGGTCGGTCGCACCAATCTCAATCGACACAAGCAAGGCTACATCCACAAGCAGTTGATGGCCAACAAATAGGTTCAAAGTGATATAAATTAACATCTCAGTGTTAATATATAGAATGAGTAGATCAACAAGAGACATTGGCGGCAGACTGAAGAAGACGGGCGTGACTGAGATCAAGCTCACAGGCAACTACTCCCGAGCAGACATCGAACGAATCGCTCAGCGAGACAGCAACACGCTCCAACGATACGGCGCCAACGCAAGGATAGAGGTCGTGCTCGACTACGGCAACCATCAATATCGCTCAGGCAAGTTCACCAAGGTAGGCGAGCCGATCATCATGTTTGATCCTCACGAGTACGATGGCGCACCAATCCCAGAGCCTGACACATTTAAATCGTTCTACATCTACGTACATCAAGCAAAGGGAAAGGCAGGTGGCTGCGACGGCGAATGGAACAACTGTCTCTATCACTGCCTCCACGATGCCTACCCAGAGCAGGTCACAGAGCACTTTGGCAAGCCATCGCGCCTCAAGATGTTCCTCGACCTCAAAGTCGATCAGAAGGTCTCGATCAATCGGATCCCAGAACTCGAGGACAGACTCAACATCAGAATCAACGTCAAAGGTAATCACTGCTATGCCTCCGCGTCGAGGGCAACCAGAGAGGTCAACCTCATACTAACCAATGGACACTACAAACTAGACAAGGAAGGTACCTATGCAGGCAAGGGCATCAGATACACTCGACACAACGAGAGGGACGTCTACATCAAGCCAATCGTATTCAAGTATCTCAAGGGCGATCGGGTCCAGCTCTACGATGACGACGAGTACAGCACCATCACATTGCAACAGTTTATCGACAAGAAGAGACGCAAGTACCAAGACAAATGCGAGTACATCCGTATCCTCTCGGGCATGACTCTCGAGGAGACGCTTGACTCGTTCAAAGCTGATGCCGACGCGCTCAAGGAACACACTAACGGCRTCATCGACATGTACACAACAGGACAGAACATCAACAAGGCTGCGATCAAGCTGTTCCTTTCGTACAACAAGACTGTCAAACCAGAGCCCATCGGTCAGATGGAGGGCGAGTGGATAAAGAAGTCAGCCTATGGACCATTGATGATAGCCATTCAACATATAGGAGCGCTCTACAAGTATGACGTCGCTAGGATGTATGCATCCATCTTGAGGAGCAGCGGCTTCATGATCCCAATCAAGTGTGGTGACTTCCAGCATCTGACCGACGAGGAGCTCAGCGCAATGAAGACCATCCCATTTGGTATCTACCGCGCCATCATCAATGGCACTCATGTGAGCCCAAATCTAGATTAGAGGAGCTCTGTAAGTGTCTCTATCAACGTCTCTGGGGCGCTCTCTCCAAGCGCAACAAGACCAAGCAGTGCGTCAACATGGAGCGCGACGAGGAGGTCATCACGACCAGTGATGGACAGAGAACGATCAAGCACATCGAGATCAACGTCGACGAGGACTACTCAATCGATCGCATCACTCCAACATCAAATGGTAGCGCGATGATCAAATCAGCCTGCAACACCGACATGTTTGACACACCATTCGCTCGCATCATGCCATTCATCATCTCTCGTGGACGCAAGATGATTGGAACGATAATAAAGGACGACATTGACTGCATCAAGCGCGTGCACACTGATGGATTCGTCTCTACCAAGCCATGGACAGTGAAGACAGGCAAGAGGTCATTGGATTACCCCAAGTTGGGCAAGGAGTGCGGCAACCTGCGMTACGAGGGCTTCTGTCCTGACGCAATTGTCAAGAACATGGCCAAGGTCAATGGAAAGTTTATYGTATAAATATTKTTGGGGATAAGATATAATGAATGAGTTAATGGATCCYGAAGTAGTCAAACCAGAGACTGAAACAAAGAAGAAACAATTGTGTCTTAAGTCAATATCACCATATGCATTTCTATTAAGCGGGGATGATCCAAACAGGATGTTAGAATATATGGATTATCTTCATCTTACCGAGAAAGAGAAGTGGAAGGAGACCAAGATWAGACTAATAGATGAAATTAAGGARTGGAAACGAAAGTACGATGAGYTMAAGGCTCAAGTTGACAGCGCTCATGAATTGGCRAAGAGACATTCATTCACAATCACCAAACATTGACAACAASAATATAATCTCTATATCCATCATTATGGACGTAAAGAATACCATTGACTGGAGTGGCAACWAYAACAACAAGACATACGAGGATGATCCCAACAAAAAGGTGGAGTGCTTGGAATATTTGCTCAAGAGACAGATGAAAGAATACTATGAGAACGAGGCCAAACTAAACAACCAGATTGATGTGTGGAAAGGTAGGTACCTTGTGCTCAAGGATGAGTTATTGAAAGTCCATGAGTTGATAAAGAAAYAAACATCMAMGATCACCAAACATTGTAAATATTAATATATTGTTTACATTCATTACAAATGAACATAAACAGTACAACAATCGAMRGGAGTGGCAGCAACACCAACAAGTCGTACATGCAACAGTACTACCAGGAGTTCAAAGAGGAGATCAAGGCCTACAACACAGAGAGGATACCGTGCGCTGTCTGTGGCAAGTTGATCGCGCGACATTTGATGAGGAAGCACGAGAGAAGGATGCACGGTGATTGATGGCAACAGAAGGTTTATTGTACAGTTGGTTGATTGACAGCGGTGCTCTGTCGGTGCTGAGATTAAAAGAGGCCTAAAACTCCCGTTGTGTCTGTGCCATCGTCTACGATGTCCATGAAGAGGTGGCCCCGCACTTCATAGGACCAGGAGACGACTATACGTCTGTGTCCATGAAGGTGCCACCAGTCGCAATGTCGTCATCTTCAATCTTACACTGATCTTGTAAGTGATCTCTTAGAGGTCTCTGGATGGGAGTGGTATTGGCAGAGGAGGGATTGGCTTGCAGTCGAGAAACCAATGTCGCACGGCCATGCGGTATCTTCGGAGGTGGTGTTACAATAGTGGGACGTGGAGGACTGACCTCGTACTCGGCAAGATCATCATCATCGAATGATGGTGGAGAAGGTGGCAACTCCCTGAAGCGACCCTGGTTGGCAGGTGGAGCTCGACTCGATGGTGACAGTAGGGGCGCCAACTGGAGGGACTGTGCCTGTTGGAGAATGCGCCTCTGAACTTCACGTTGGGCTTCGGCCTCTTGGAGATCGATCCCCAACTTGACAGTCGATATGGCAATGTCCTTGGCTACCTTTGCCTCTGACTTGGCACGCTTGATCTTCTCCCTTATTGGTGCCAGTGCCTCGTCCTTCTGCGACTTCTCTCGCTTGAACATTTACTCATAGCTGTAGCAGTCTACACTTATAAGTAACCAAACTTCTTGTACCTCTCTTTCATCTCTCTCGCTGCCTTCTCCTCTCTCCTCACATCACTGTAGCCAGTCGCCTTTGAATGGAACCCCGCGATAACGATTCAACAGGAAGCGCATGGCATGGTAGCCACAGGTGTCGGTGTTGACAGCCTGGTCGATCACTCTGTTGACTTTAAACTTCAAATACACGTCTGGGTCGATCTCTTCCACCAACTGTTTCATCCTCCTCATAAAGTCAGTGCTCGGGTCATCACCAAACGAGTCATAGTACTCAATCGCTTTGTCACCCTTAGCATCAATGTTACAAGCGACCCAGTGACTGCCAGGTTGGTGGCTGTTGTCCAAGTTCATAATAAATGACATTCGCTGCTTTGGATTCAACTCATTCAGTTGGTCAGAAGCGATCACTCCTTCAAACCCATCCTTTGCGTACGGCTGCATCAGCTGTTCGATCTCATAGTCATACAATCCACCATCCTTGCGCCCGCTGCCCTTCTTCATGCCTTTGACCTCATTAAAGATAGCGTCCATCCAATTCTGTCTTTCGCTGTGGCCCTTGAACACCTTCTTTAACTCATTGTACAGCTGTTGTGAGGCGATGTCGCTGTCGTAGTATTGCTTGACAAACTCCAACACTTGAGGTGCCAGTGACGTTGGGATTGGTTTGAGAGAATCCATTGCCTGTAGTCTCGCCATCGTTCCTGCTTCTGATATCAGTTCTCTCTTGAGTTTATTTCTCTCCTCATAGGGCACGTTCTTCAAGTCCTTCCCTAGGTCATAGTTGAGGTTATTGATTGGGTATCCTGTGTCCAAGTAGTGCTGCACTGATACCATGACCTTGGGTGTCAACTCTGCTGGTATCGCCTTCGTTGCCTTGAGACTGGAGGATGTGATCGAGACTCTCCTGTTGTTGTTATTGTTATTGTTGTTGTTGACTGCTGTTGACGTTGTCGATGCTGTTGTCGTCGTAGTTGATGTTGTTGGATGTGGAGGCGTACTGTAAGGAGACGGCTCGTCAATAGGCTCTGACTTTACCTTGGGCATGGTGCTGGGCATAAGCTTCCTGAGTCGTGATGGTTGTGGTTGCTTGGGCTGCTCTGACACGATAGAATGCAATG